AGTTTTCATAATACTAGTTTAAAAACGCACTTCGAAGATTGCAGTGTTTGAAGATGTAGATTCTCAGGAGGCAACAGTACTGTTGACTTCTCCCTCCACTGGACACCAACTATTTAAGATGATTTGCATACAAAGCAGAGCTTGCAACAGCTATTCATAAAGGGTGTTTTATTTTACTTTTCATATAATACAGTAGTCACACAATGAGGCAGTTCATATTTGTCTCAGTGAATCATTAATTTTTGACAGACACCTGTACAAAATACTTGGACAAAAGCCAGCTAAGATCTTCTGTTATTTTGCATGTTTTATGAATCTATTCACGTCTAAATGCAGAACTTTTTTTTTGCGATGAGGCATTTATTTTCATACTAAAATAACTGAATTACTTTGAATAAAACTGGAAATTATGTCCCTTAAAATAATTAAACAAATGAGGCACCAATGTTTTTGTAAGATATTTACATCTTTTAAGGACATTCGGTAGACTGATTCCCCACTGTTGGTTCAACCCCAAAACTTGTTTGTAATCAAAATTAATTATGACAATGCATATTTATATTGAAACAAACTGTGATAAAGGAAATTATATTATATAACAAAGGGCAAGGTCACCAGAGTTCAACTATGTTTTTTTAAATATGAACATAGAAATATAAATCTGGTACCATATTAGTTGCTATTGTAAAGCTGATAGCAATTGGCCTGGCTGAATGATTGTATGCATATATAGAATTACTTGCAGAATTGTAACTGCTGTGGTCACAGTGTTAGATGTTTTCAATATCATGATTACATCTCTCTGTCAAAATACTGTAGTATTCAGAGGGCTGGTATCATGTCCTAATCTCCTCAATTTCTCCTTTCCATGCACCTCCATTGCAGTAACAATAAAACTGGGAACAACAGGTACAGAGTTCTGTTTATTCTCAATATTTCAGTTACAAAGTGTAACCCTACTTAGTTAGACATTCAACTGTACCTTAATGTTCAAGTCATGATATGATGGTTCCATCCTCTTTATTGTCTTCAATGTAGTGTTGTTAGTTTGTAATATTGGTATGATCTGGCATTATTTCTGATTAAACCAAACTAAAGACTATTTTATTTCTTAAGAAAATCATGATAGTTTGGGTGCACTCTCTGTTGGAACTTTTGACTGTTGCATCATGGTTCTACATTTCTCGATTTTCTTTCATTTTCACCATTATATGACACTAAAGTATGTTTATATGTCTTCATTTGGATGTAGTGTGAAAACAAAGAATTATGAAATGATCTCAGTGCATGCGTATCATACATATACATATTTATTCATTTGATGGTCAGATTCAAAATGGCCAAATGACGACCATTTTTATGCTAAATATTCATCAAAATCAAGCATTTCATGTTGTGTATGGATTTATTTTGTTCAAACTTGACACATTCATTGGACATGACAAGAATTTGATGCACTTGGTTTTGTTTTTTCTGACCAATTTAAAAATGGCTAATTGGTGGCCATTTTCTTTTATTGATTATTGTTCCAGAGCCATATCTCTGGTGTACCTTGACTGTTCAAACATTATATATACATCATGTATTCGTTTAATGTTCGATTCAGATCATCGAATAGCAGCCAATTCAATGATTCATCAAAATTAATCATTTCTACCATAACAGATCTAGATCTCGGTCATGCATCAATAAATTTTGTTCAAACTTGGTAAATACATTGAGACCTTGATGCATGTCATTTTGGATGAATGCTGTTTCGGAGCCATATGATTGTTCAAGTTCAAACTTTTAAACTTGTGGGGAGGGCATTGGTGTCAGCTAGCTGGGGAGGTAGAGTGGCATATGGTGTCACCTAGCTGAGGAGGTGGAGGTCATGGTGTCAGCTGGCTAGGGAGGATGCGGGAAAGAAGGGGGCATGGTGTCATTTGACTGATTTTGTTACAGCTTAAACCTTGTTTTGAATGGTTTATGTGACGTAGGTGTAATGAATATTGGTTCTATATGATTTTGATCCTAATCAAAGTACAAAGTAGGACTTGGCATTTGCTCTGTGAAGACAAGACTCAAATCACATGCTGTTTGTTTCAACGGAGGATAATCGTTGATTGTAATAATTTTTATGAGTGTATTCATAAATAGCAAATTTTCTCAGCTTCTGTCTGTTTTCTCAATCTTAGTAAGATTATTAATTCATATACTTACTGATAATTACTGAAAACCAAATTAATTAGTTGGTATTTAATTACAATTATTATTTACAGGATTTGCTTTCTGCTAGTTTCTAATGGTAACCTATAATGCATGTAAATAGAAGAAACAAAAATAAACCACCTTTTCCAGCTGTTGAGGGCGCCCTTGCTTAAATTCTCTATTTTCTGTATTTTCAATAGTACCTGACTAAAATGTGACTACCTAGGGACCACGTTTATAAAACCTGACTGCCTGGGGACCACATATATAAAACCTGACTACCTAGAGACCAAATTTATAAAACCTGACTACCTAGGGACCATGTTTATAAAACCTGGCTACCTAGGGTCCACGTTTATTAAACCTGACTACCTAGGGACCACATATATAAAACCTGACTACCTAGAGACCAAATTTATAAAACCTGACTACCTAGGGACTATGTTTATAAAACCTGGCTACCTAGGGTCCACGTTTATAAAACCTGACTACCTAGAGACCATGTTTATAAAACCTGACTACCTAGAGACCACATTTATTAAACCTGACTACCTAGAGACCACATTTATAAAACCTGACTACCTAGAGACCACATTTATTAAACCTGACTACCTAGAGACCACATTTATAAAACCTGACTACCTAGAGACCACATTTATAAAACCTGACTACCTAGAGACCACATTTATAAAACCTGACTACCTAGAGACCACATTTATAAAACCTGACTACCTAGAGACCACATTTATAAAACCTGACTACCTAGAGACCACATTTATAAAACCTGACTACCTAGAGACCACATTTATTAAACCTGACTACCTAGAGACCACATTTATAAAACCTGACTACCTAGAGACCACATTTATAAAACCTGACTACCTAGAGACCACATTTATTAAACCTGACTACCTAGAGACCAAATTCATAAAACCTGGCTACCTAGGCACCACGTTTATAAAACCTGACTACCTAGGAACCACATTTATAAAACCTGACTACCTAGAGACCACATTTATGAAACCTGTTCACCTAGAGACCACATGTATAAAACCTGTTTACCAAGAGACCACATTTATGATACCTGTGTACCTAGAGACCACATGTATAAAACCAGACTATCTAGGAACCACATTTATAAAAACCTAACTACCTAGGAACCACATATATAAAAACCTGACTACCTAGAGACCACATTTATGAAAACCTGACTACCTAGGAACCACATATATAAAAACCTGACTACCTAGGAGCCACGCTTATAAAACCTGACTACCTAGAGACCACATTTATGAAACCTGTTTACCAAGAGACCACATGTATGAAACCTGTGTACCTAGAGACCACATGTATGAAACCTGTTTACCT